AATCTCACCCAGATTGTTTGAACGTCACTAGAAATAAATTTTGATAAGTTCAAATATTTAGTTCAATGAGGAACACGAATTGAAAGCAAAATATGCTCACAAAATTAATCTCTCAAATTGTTTTACACTCATATAATAAGTTTTATTTATAGGAGATTCGACAAATGCCAAAAACATGCAAAAAAAAAATTGTTTTGTTCAATTAAATTTAGTGCACCAATATATATATATATATATATAATTCATTATTGATAGATTAAATCAAAACAAGGTTGCTTTCTTCTTGTTCTTCATCGGACTCAATTTCAAACTTATCAAGGTCTTCATCTTTGTGGCGTTCAACAATTTCATAGCATGGCTCATAATTTTTGTGATTCTTGGTCAAGTTCCTTTATAGTTTTGGTTCCTTGATTTAATAAATTATTGGGTCAAGCTTCAAACTTAGATTTTCACTTTTTTGGAGTTGTGATCCAATTTTGTGTGGATTTTGGAGCTACTATTGCTTTGTGGGTTCACATCAGCTGGAATCAAAACTTTGGCTCTAAAATCAAGGTTATTATATCTTTATCTTTTCGCATTTGCTTCCTAATTCCATTCTTCTTCGTTGAGTCTTCATCTTCTTCATCGTGTCTCCACCATTTCTCGAGTTGTCATCATCTTCTTAAGTATTTTATATCGACACAAATGCCAAAAACATGCAAAAAAAAAATTGTTTTGTTCAATTAAATTTAGTGCACCAATATATATATATATATATATAATTCATTATTGATAGATTAAATCAAAACAAGGTTGCTTTCTTCTTGTTCTTCATCGGACTCAATTTCAAACTTATCAAGGTCTTCATCTTTGTGGCGTTCAACAATTTCATAGCATGGCTCATAATTTTTGTGATTCTTGGTCAAGTTCCTTTATAGTTTTGGTTCCTTGATTTAATAAATTATTGGGTCAAGCTTCAAACTTAGATTTTCACTTTTTTGGAGTTGTGATCCAATTTTGTGTGGATTTTGGAGCTACTATTGCTTTGTGGGTTCACATCAGCTGGAATCAAAACTTTGGCTCTAAAATCAAGGTTATTATATCTTTATCTTTTCGCATTTGCTTCCTAATTCCATTCTTCTTCGTTGAGTCTTCATCTTCTTCATCGTGTCTCCACCATTTCTCGAGTTGTCATCATCTTCTTAAGTATTTTATATCGACACAAATGCCAAAAACATGCAAAAAAAAAATTGTTTTGTTCAATTAAATTTAGTGCACCAATATATATATATATATATAATTCATTATTGATAGATTAAATCAAAACAAGGTTGCTTTCTTCTTGTTCTTCATCGGACTCAATTTCAAACTTATCAAGGTCTTCATCTTTGTGGCGTTCAACAATTTCATAGCATGGCTCATAATTTTTGTGATTCTTGGTCAAGTTCCTTTATAGTTTTGGTTCCTTGATTTAATAAATTATTGGGTCAAGCTTCAAACTTAGATTTTCACTTTTTTGGAGTTGTGATCCAATTTTGTGTGGATTTTGGAGCTACTATTGCTTTGTGGGTTCACATCAGCTGGAATCAAAACTTTGGCTCTAAAATCAAGGTTATTATATCTTTATCTTTTCGCATTTGCTTCCTAATTCCATTCTTCTTCGTTGAGTCTTCATCTTCTTCATCGTGTCTCCACCATTTCTCGAGTTGTCATCATCTTCTTAAGTATTTTATATCAACACAAATGCCAAAAACATGCAAAAAAAAAATTGTTTTGTTCAATTAAATTTAGTGCACCAATATAATTTTTTTCCATTTTTCTTCCCATTGTTGATTTTTTGGATATTTAGTGTCAAAAAATAAAATGAAAATTCTTGAAAAAAAATTCCAGCAAAAAGAAAACAAAGATTCCAAGTGAAAAAAAAAGGGCTTGCTCGATTTCAAGAAACACTTTCTTGAAAATTCTTTAGGCGTAGAATTTCTTGGTTGTGTTTTCATTCAAATCCTTCATTCCTTCCTTTCTTGGGTACTTTTTTCTTGAGTCATTGTTTTTCTTCAATACCTATATTTAGTGTCAAAAAATAAAATGAAAATTCTTGAAAAAAAATTCCAGCAAAAAGAAAACAAAGATTCCAAGTGAAAAAAAAAAGGGCTTGCTCGATTTCAAGAAACACTTTCTTGAAAATTCTTTAGGCGTAGAATTTCTTGGTTGTGTTTTCATTCAAATCCTTCATTCCTTCCTTTCTTGGGTCCTTTTTTCTTGAGTCATTGTTTTTCTTCAATACCTTTTTGCCGTTTGAACCTCACAAGGGCGAATATTTTTAAGTATTGAGAGAAAAAAGGTAGGAGTGGTGAGATTATTAGAGGGAAAAAGTCAAATTATGTGAAACTCAAGTACAAATACGTGGGGATAAACGTGTGTCAATAACATGTCGAGTCAATTGAGAGTATAGGAATTAGTATGTTCATGAGCAATAGCTTAATTAACTCATGTGCATGGGATCTAATGACGATGGTGAACAATGCTCCCCCCAAATAATGAACTCAATCAAGTTGGATGTATGATAGTACTATAAGTATATAACTTCAAGTGACTCGATCCACAGACAGGCCTCCTAGTCGTTGTATTAACTTCAGTATGTCCCAAGTAAAATTCTATCAATAGAGTTGCCTCCCCTAAAATAGAAAGAGAGCGAGAAACTCACTTGCACCAATCTTTCTCTCTACACGTGCATCTATTCTTTTAAGGATTCCTTTCTTCAAAAGGAGAATTGAAAAAACATAGCATGCTAAAAAATCACTTGAATGTCACAAACTATATTCTCTTTGAGTAAAATTATTTAAACAAAGTCTTTAATTAATTATGAGTAGATAAAATACAAAGGCAAGATATTACAATAAATTGAATTGACTTTGGAATTCGTTTAAGTTATAGGTGGTAGTTGTTAGGTTAATGATCTATTATTAATAATTCATGAGAGAATCTTATCTTTTTTCTTCAATTTACACTTGAGATATCGTTGTACTTCCATTATTGCATCCATCACTTTCAGTATTTTAGTTACAAGTTTTATTTTTCAAATGAGTCCAACCGTTCATTATATTTTTTTTCATGATTAATTGTCAAACTTTTCCGTAATTGCCGTGTGATAGATGAATTGTATTTTGTTGATATAATCTTGTGTAGAACTATTGTCACTAAAGTATAAACTATCAGAATCATGCTATCGTGACATTATCATTGATTATCATTGACATAATGCCACATAGCACTTCATCATTGAATTGTTTTAAATACAATCAATTTTTTCATCAATCACATCTAGCCAACTAATATTATGTCACTCCATCCGCCATTCATTTTCTGTCAAAGTGGCTAATCCAAACTACAACAACACTAAGAAAGAAAAAAAATTAAATTTATTTATTATTTATGCATAATATCAAAGTTTCAATGTTTATGGATAAATCTCATTTGTGGTTACTGGACTTTTAGTGAAACACTAATTGGATCGCTGAACTTCAGTTTAGTTTCAATTCGATTACTAAACGTCAATTTAGTTCAATTTCACAATCAATTTTTGTCTCCTAAATCGGTGAAATTTTTTAATTGATATTTATAGCGCAACAGTCAGATCTTTTATGTAATAGCTGTGTGGCAAGCCAATTTATACCACATGATGACAGTGTCTAAATAACAAACACACATCTTTTTAACATTTTAATCTAAAGATATTGTAGTAAAAAGTAATTTTTATTTCGTTTCTAGGGTACTCACTTGGAAATTAAATGGAAGGCAGTAATGGTATGTGAGTCAATTATGCAATTTCCACTAGTGTGGAGGATGATAAATAATGGAATGCAATAAAAGTAGCGAAATTTGAAGCTAAATTGAAGTTCAATGACCCAATTGAGAGAAAATAAAAGTTAAGGACCTGATTGAAATTTCATTAGAAGTTCAATGACTGTAATTGAAATTTGACTAGTTTATTTTATTAGTTTGCATGATAATGCATACAAAAGATAGGTTCCAAGTGAAAACTATTCGTCCAGGTTGCCCAGGGTTATTAAAAAAATCAGACAATGAAATTCTGTTGAGCTGAAAGAAATCACATTGAGAAGCCATTTTTGAACTTGATGCTTCTAGTTTTGTGAAGTAATTTTTGAACCTTTAAATTATCATCATTCTCCTTATGAAGCATTCCATTTTATCTTCATTTTTTTTATGATTTATATGCATCTCCTCATGAATTTGAATCAAGATTAAAATGGCAAGTTGTCGGTAATGAGACTAATCAAACTAGGCAACTTTAATTTATTTCCCATTAGAAAGGGGCTAATTCAATTGAATTAGGGCCACATTGACTTATCGAGTTTCTTCGTTGCGTTAGTTAGTTAAAAAGAACCATGTTGAATTTGAATATGAATACTTGATAAATGCTAGCTTTTTCTTTTCTTTTCCCTTTTTTTTGTTTGACTCAGGTGTCCGAATTTCACCTAACTAATCCTAAGGAGTGGCGGCCTTCCCTTGATTCGCCACTTGGGTAAATTCAGATGTGATCACAGTTTATACACACTTAGGTCAGACGTTTGGGATGCGATTTTCCTCCCTATAAATATCCCTTTATAATGTGTGGACAAGATCCCCACAAAGGACAACAAAGCACACTATAATAATACCTCCGCGAAACATCTACCTTCCAACATAACTTGAAGGTGTGAGTATTTTAAAAGCCAACTCAATCCCATTTCTTAATTATGATTGAAGTCATGATCTCCAGATCCGTTGAAGCTAATAGATTACACAAAAAATTATTAAAAACCTATACTCATAATTCATCTAAGCTTAACTCTCGGCTTCTTAATAATAGCCCTTCACTGCATGCGCAAAATTCTATATTAGAAGCATTTCGAGATTTCAGATGTACTCAAAATTTTCAAAGTCGATTCACTTTAACTTGTTCTACAAGTCACGACAAGAAATTTCAATTTGTACATAGACTTTTCAAAGTGAATCCAGGTTTTCGGCAACGACTGGTTTAATCTCTCCTTCTACACCCATTCCTAATCACCTTAATGGATCTGACATGTGTCATGCATCGATGGTAGATACTAACTGAACGTCGAACCCACCACAAGGCAACCTTGACTTGCTTAATTGAAAAATATTTTTAACAAAATTTTGACAAAGTTTTCCCTAAAATATGAACTAAAACCATCTGAACAATAACCAATTTTTCTCAAATCAATACATGTAATATGAATTGGCTACGACAGTCCCTAAAAATACAAACTATTCAAATAAAATGTTGGCAAACCAACATTTACTTGCTTTACAACCAACAATACTCAAATATACTAAAGATACCAAATATTTAATGAGCCCATAATGAACTTTTTTGATTTAAACTACATGTATCCCAAAAGAACACATAATGTATAATCTGATAAAGGATGTCATACAACATAGACGTGTGGATCAATTCGGTGGTTCAACAAGCTCCAAAGCTACTCAATTCGGCTGCTATCTGTCTGATAAAGAAAAAGGTGAAAAATTTTATGAGCTCAAAGCTCAATGAGTGGATAATTTGCTAATAAGTAAACTTTTCTCATTTATGCATATTTTCTAAAAATTCTTGCTTTATTAAAACCTCGAGAAATTCTGAAAACTAGTAACATTTTTAAAACTAAACATAATTTCATCATAAAATTCTTTGTTCTTAATTTTAGATAAGCAATTGTAAAGTATAATGACATGAATAATCTGATATCCATGAAAATCTATGAAATATTGTTGTTGCTCAATACTATAAGCTGAAAGCTTTATTTTGAAAATTGAATAAACTGAATTTTATAATCTGAAATTTGATAAGTTGTAGAAATACTAAAAAATCACACCAAAAAGGTACCCAATGAATAGCCTTACTCATGTACAGAGTAATCTCGATTACAAGGCAAAATCATTCAAATCTGATAATTTGGTCATACGTACGCAGAGCTGCCCCAAAGGCATATACCCTAGTACATGGCCCAAAGCCTGAGTGTAAGAGAGTGGGTCCCAAAGACCTCTGGTAATCTGATCATACACTATGGAAACAAATTCACAATAGTGCGGAGCGGGTAAAATAATCATAATTAGTCATGAACTATGAAAACATATTCGTACCAGTGCAGACTAGGGTAAAATCACCTAAGTACTTTCTGGTGGTTTTTAGAAATAACTTTAAATACGCAAAATATTTAATACTGATATAGTATGCCAATGAAATGATTTAACTTGACTGAATTTAATTTTATAAACAACTGTTTATAAATCAACTTTATTCTGAAAATTATGCTGTCAAATCAACTATATGAAATAATAAATTTTCTGATTTAATATAAATTTAATGAATACTAATTTCTGAAAAATAAGTTTAATCCACTCACCAAGACAAGTTATTCGAGTGTAAAGGTAAAAGGGGGCTTGATTGCAAGACCCACTCATCGAGCAGGGCCTAAGATGGTCGATAAGCTTTTTCGATCTTCTCACAACATGAAATACGATATTATTAACCAATTTAACCACTATTAAGACAATAGACCATTTATCTTTACTAATGATATAATACATAAATTAATTTCTCGGTACTTGAATGAATTCCCAAATTTTCCTTTAATCGATTGGAGTTACTTCCACTTTCTAGTTCCTTTACTAATAATCAATTTCTCCAATTAATCTTCATCCCACTCATAAAAAAATAAAAAAAATAATTATGCCTTCAAATCTAATGAAAATTAGTAACCATAATTCCACCTATTTTAATTTTCATATTGTTTCTCAAATTCAAGCTTCCATGTGAGTTTTTCATCAATATAATCATTCCCACTAATAATACTTAATCAAGAATCCCAAATAAAAATCTAGGGTTTTTCAAAAATGGTATTACTTACCTTGATTAAATTAGAAATTAATCCATCAAGCAATTTAAGCAAGAAATTATACTCCTTTCACTAAATCTGCAAATTTAACCAACTAATTAAACTCTAGAAATTTAACATCATAATACCATAAAACTTTTACTTCTTAATCTCTTAAAGAAACGAAGTAAATAAATCCAAGCATGAAGAAATCAATACTTACTTCCTCCTTCTTCCTTCCTTCTTTTTTTTCCCCCCTTTTTCCTTTCTCTTTCTCGATCTTTCTGCTTCTCTGTTGTTTTTCTAGTGTGTGTGTGTGTGTGTGTGTGTGTGTTGAGAGAAAAGGGCATCAACTCTAGTAATATAAAGGCCCACTTACTCAAAATTGCAAAGGAAGTCCCTCTTCTTAAATATATTTTAAAACTAAATCCTAAACTTCCTAAAATATATAAATAGATCCCAAAAATTTTATATTGTCCAACTTAAACCTTCAAAATATTTTTGTAATAAATTAAGCCCCAATTAAAATAAATTATTTCATTTTAGTCCCTTTTTTATATTGACTTTGACAATTCAACTTTTGATTTTTAACTAGTAAAATTTGGTTTGTAACATTCTTCCTCCCAAATTGTGGTCCATTTTGTTCCAAGAGACTAGACCATATGGAAACTTTAGGCCCTTATTAATGGAGGCTCGAAGGCAAAGACAAATGGGTTATTCTTGGGTGATAGGGCCCGGACGTCCAAGGCCCTATGTGTCGCTCCCCTTATTGGGGGGTTGCCTGCCGCTTACAGGCGACCCCCCAATAGGGGGGCGACACATAGGGCCCTGAACATCCAAGGCCCTATAACAAGGGGTTTTCCCAAGACAAATCTAACATGGGTTAAGTCAAAGAAAAGTAATGTTGAATATTTGCAGCTCCTTTGAAAAGCTATGAAACTTGAGACCATTTCAATATAAATCTAAAACAAAATTATGAAACTTGTGACCATTTCAATATAAATCTAAAATAACGAAAGAACCGCATCCCAAATATCCGGCCTAAGTGTATCTAAGTTGTGGTCTCATTCGGATTTACCTGTGTGGCGAACCAAGAGGAAAGGCGGCCACTCCTCAGACTAGTCGTACGAAACTCGGACACCTAAGTCACAAAAAATTAAAAATTAATAACGAAATTTGTTCCTTCATATTGTAAATAAATAAATAAACATAAAGTTGGGACCAATATAATTTATACTTTACCTTAGAAACCCCACGAAAGTCGACAGAGATTAATGATTAATCTTCCTTATTTGGTGTTTTGCTTCATGATTCAACAAAAGTGATTTCAAGAAATGTGCAAGAAATTCCAATTCCATGTGGGTTTATCATGATTGTCGAAGTCATAAAAAAATCAAATATAATTAGTAGAAAACCCGGTGCATTGAAAAGTTGCTACCAAATTCACGGTCTTGCCATCGCGGAGTTTGCATTTTATTACACCTATAAAACCACACCTAGGCACACTTAAACTCGTCAAAGCTTAATACTTGACCATATCGTCTAATCATACTATGCACTTTTCAGAATAAATTTACCCCGTTTTGGCCCTCCATTTTGGAAAGCTCATTTTTTCACAAACTTAAATGTCTCTGTCACATGGGATTTGCTACTTTTATTAATTTTTCAACTACATATTTCATTAACCCTTACCAAAAGTTACTAAGAATTTTATTTTTATCAATACCAAATGTGAGCTTAATATCTTATTCTTTAACTTTCAACGAAATCTCAATAATAATACTAAATTTAAATCTTTCTTATTTGGATCAATAGACTTCAATTTAATTTTAAATCTCACGATCCTATAATCTGCTATCACCTTTCGTCCTCCAAAATTATAAAATTTACTTATTGCTTCTTTGACTACCAGTTAGGGATGTCAAATGGATCAGGTGACTCGTCGGCTCGAACTCTTGCTGGTAAAAACGGGGATCATGGACGACTCGGGCTCGTAAAATGACGAGCTGAGCAGGTTGGCTCATTTGGAGAGCCACTTGTGGGCTCTTATCATGCGAGCCTAGGCCACGAGCTCAGTGACCATTTGTAGCAGTCATTGTTCAAAAAAAGTAACCGTTTTGGTCATTGTTTAAAAACAGTCAATGAACTTTTAAAGTGGCATGAATGGCCACTGAAATTTTATTTATTTTTTAGTTTCTCTATAAATACCCCCTATTATTATTATTTTTTATTTTTTACACAATGACTCTCTCTCTCTTCCTTAATTATCAATACAATATACTTCATTCATTTTTATATTTTCATCTTCAATTTCAATTATTCAATATCAATTCATTTAATTCTCACGCTACAAATTTACAATTATGAATTTGTAATCTTAAACATATTATAGCTTTCATTCCGTACTCTTTACTTATGTCTTAGTATTCACTATGTCGTCTATACATTTTTAATTTCATCACAATTCACAAATGGATCCACACTCATTTGTTGAGGGCTTATTCTGTGTCGGAGATGAATCACCTATGACGTTGTAAGGTCAATGTCGAAATCAAATTTTTAGTCTAAATGAAGTACCCATTCCCAAAGATAATCCAAATTTGACTACATATGGAAGCAATAATCCAATTGATTTGGATGACATTAATGCTCTCGAAGTGGAACAGGAGGAGAAACCTGAATTAGACATTCTCGATATTAGAGGAAAAAGAAGGGGAAAAACAAGCAAAATATTGGGATCTTTTCAAATTGATTTCAACGAGGTCGTGTTATCAATGGAGTCCTGGAATCTAAAGTAGTATATAAATACTGCATAACAACGATTGACATGGTAAAAAGGCATTGGTACCACCCATCTCAACTTTCACTATAAAGCGTGTGCACCAAACACGGACTTCTTCAAGCCAATCAAACACGAGTTCAATTTGTTAGGGATGCCGATTCTATGACTTCGTCCCTCACTATGTAGATGTATTCGAAGGAGAATGCTCGAATGGGAATTGTGAAACTTGTTGATGGCGATAAGTTGCCTCTAGCAATAGCGAACAATTAACATTTCATCTCGTACGTAAAAGAATATTTTCAACTGACGTATGTTGAGGTATATCGAAATACTCTTCATTCAACTACAATAGAATATTTTCTTCAAACAAAACAACAATTGATTATAGATTTGCAACAAAAATCTTTAACTTCAAATTTATGGGAGGGGATTAATAAAAGAGCTTATATAGTTACAATTACACACTATATAGACCCACTTTACTGTATGCATAAAAAAATTATTGCTTTAAAATTATTAAATTCTCTCATAATGCTAACAATGTATATAATGGTATTATGATCATTATTAGAGAATATCATTGCGAAAATAAAATTCGTTCTTTTATATGCGATAACACTAAAGTTAATAAAGTAGTTATCAATAAATTGTGTAGGATATTGTAGCCTGATTTCGGTGGTTATTTGTTTCATATTCATTGTGTGTGCCATATTTTAAATAAATATAATTGTACAAGATGGTTTGAAACATATTAAAGATGAAATGTAAAGAATTAAAAATGCACTAATATATATCACAATCTCCCCTAGTAAAAAAACAAGCATTTGAGGAATTTGTGCCAATTTTAGGATTACGAATGCTAAAACATTTGTTAACGATGTATGGCAAAGATGGAACTTCACTTAATTATTATTAAAGTCATGCAAAGGTTTTAAACATTTAGGATGCGTTTGGTTTGCATTTGCATTTTCATTTTCAATTTTGAATTCAATTTTAGTTTTCTATTTGAGGGACTATTTTCTAATTACAGAAAATGTGTTTGGTTTGTCATCCGATTGACTTTTAGCCTTAAAAGTTGAAAGTTTTTGACAAGTTTTTATGACACTACAAATATTTTATCTGGAGTTTAATATCCACTAGTTGTATGGTGCTCGAACTTTTTTATATAATTACAAGAATATTTCATAAATACAAAAATGACCCCGATTTTAGTGCAATTATATATTCCATGGAATTAAAATTTAGAAAATACTGGAAAGACTTACTTATGTTATTTTCTTTAGCATACATCATGGACCCCAATATAATTTATCAGGAACTAAGTATGTAATTGATCAAATTTCAAAAGCTCTAACTTTTAATATCCTATCACGTATAAAAATTTAGAACAAACTTATGTGAAATGTATGAATTGTATGCAGAACAAATGAGTATAAATATTAATCGAGTACCCTCTGCACCTACTCCTTCCACTGATATTGAAGAAGATGACGCTAAAATATTAACTTTATTCGAAAGCATTAACACATAAAGATATAATGCAAATGTAATAGGTTTGTCCAGTAATACTTTATCTTCTGCGTGTAATCAAATATCATAGGCAAGTTCAAATACATTGTCTGCTGAATTAGTTGATTACTTTAATTATAATATGTTTACCAACAAAACAATTAAAAAAAAGTTCCAAAGAAGTTTTTGAATTCTAGCTAAGGTAGAAACAATGATGGCCAGTAGTTTCTGCAATTATAAAAGACCTACTGACACCTCCAATTAGCACTGCAGTTTCGAATTCTACTTTGCAAGTAAGAAGGTTTTGTCCGAAGTCAAGAGCCGACTGAAAAGAATATATTTTGGAAATATTAATGTGCATGAATGATTGACATGACGCCCATTTTTTACTACAAGATAAGTATGCCGAAATTGTATGTTTTTAGGTAAGTGATAGTTTAACCATATCAACAAAAATTTGTTATTTTATAATAATGTTTTTAACTTTCTTTAAAAAATGTATACATTACAAGTTGGTCGCATACAATTTTTAACTCTGCCTACTCAAAATTTAAGTGGTTGATCTCAAGCCTGGATAAAAGAGGACGATTTATATTTTATCGATTTCTAAAAAAAGAAGGAAAAAAATTCACGAGCTCGCGAGTCGAAACTCGACTCCGCCCACGAGCTCGAGGGCTGAACAATGCTCAACCCTCGAGTAACAAGCCGAGAATTAGCGCTCGTGGATATAAGGGTCGAGCCAGCTCGGCCCATTACCACCCTTACTACCTGTGAAACCAAACCTCTTTTTTTTTTTTTCAAAGTCATTTACATCAATACATTTTCACAATAAAATATTCTGTAAATAAATCTAATTCTTTTTCTTACTTTTTATTCATATATTCTCCGAAAAATTACTATTCCAAAACTCAATTTTCCCACAAATTTTATTATAATAGATGTCAAAAAGGGGCTTAATTGAC